CCAGGCGGATCAGTGGAGTAAGACGCATCGGCGAATCCGACGAGACACGGCAAAAACGTGGGATTCCGGTGGGTGCCCACAACACCTCTGAAGGGAAGATGCGTGCAACGAAGAATGCTTGTTGACCGAAGTCCTTGATGCCTGCAGCGGGTTGACAAGAGGCCTTGCTTCCCTGTGCCCAAGGGCATAAGCGTGCTGGCGCGTGCTGATTGCCTAGTAGTGCGAAGGATGTCGATCTGCCGAGTGAACAAGAAGAGGATCCAAGATGACACGAATGGATCGACTAGGCGAAGATTGATGGCGGCGTGTGCGCGGCGTAGACTGAGTTAGACTTGACTGTTATACGCCTAAGATATTACACTTCTTCATATCGCCTGAATAAACATTACATAAGAATACCGAAATACATACTAGAAAGAATTACACGAAAAGAGTCTGTACTATGTAAATCCTATTGCAATTAAAGAAGAAGAATACTACGGTTGATAATGACTACGATGAATACTATTAGAAGAATACTATTGAATACAAAAGGAACCTAAGGTGCTAACTCCCATAGTGAACTAACTAAGATCTAAAGAGAAGTAAGGAGTGGTAACTACTAAGGGCTATCCCGGCGAGGACGATTGAAGCTAATATTTAGGTAAGTATATATAAGATAAAGTCAAACTAACTATTATATGGCGAGCTGGTGTCATCGCATGAAGATGGAATAAGAATAACAGCGATGAAAGTCCGATAACCGGAGAGGCGAATAGAGGGCGACCGCTCAGGATGATGCAATGGCGAGAAGTGACGTGGCTACGGTTCGCGCGCAGTTTGAAGGCGCAGGCAACCAAGGTCCTGTGCCGATGGCGCGGAGTTTGAACCGGTATTTTGCCCTGCCTCTAACCAGCTGCCTTGGAGCACCTTTACTCGAGGTCGTGGCGCTGTCACGACAGATAGATGCCGACTGGTATCAGAATAATAAACTATGGAAGCAGCACGTTGGTAAGTGTGGTGGTCGGTGATGGTGAGGGGGTCGAAAGGGGATGGGGGTGAATCGCGAAAATGGTTGATTCGGCCAACGGGCGGTCAACCCTGCTCCTTTGTGCTCCAGATCCCTCAGGCCACAGTCAATATAACATCTACTTTTGAGTGCCGACATTTCAGATCCTTACTTTCGTTCCTTCTGACAGAGTACGGAATGACCAGTACGTCGTTTTCCACAGCCAGGTAAAGTGTACTGCTTGATGTCGCTTATCATAGAGTACAATGATAAGAATTCGTTGAAGGAATCGCCCCTTCACAGTCGTCCAGATGATGGTATAGATGCCGCCTTCAATATGACTCTAAGTTTCCGACACGATTCACCTGTGGCTTCTCCTTATGCCTACACAGTGAAATTGGCTAATAGATCCAGATTAAAATCCTCGGTATTCAGCTTTTTTCTTCTGTGTATATTTGAAGTATAGAACATGCGAAATACTATGACAGACTTTACCTTATAAGGTCAAAATTGCGAGATCTTGCGCAATAATTAGTGAAAAGCATCAATCGTGACTTTCCGGTGACATGGAGGGTAGAGGGTAATAATGGTGCATCGGCGGGAAGATGACCATGAGAAACAACAAGAATTCATCAGGGGACCCACTCTACCCATTGTTTTCAGGTTTGGTAAGGTTACTTTTGACAGAGAGGCCGTCTGGACGAGCGCTGGCATATTCTTCATGGGCGAGCCAGACGTTTTTTACGAAAAAAATACGTCCAAAATTTGCTCACCAGGGTCTTACATGGTAGGGCATCGCAGTAGCATCTCTTTAGGATTGGCATTGCAAGACCGAATGTCCTGTCCTTCATTCTCTCTGGCCACCGGCAAACAACCTTCTTCTTTGTAGACATGAGGTCACCTTTTTCTGCATTTCGGTCATTGGTTTTATTGCTCACTATGAAATTTTAAAAATTTCATTTTCTTTTGTTTTTTGCTACAACTCGATTCAAATTTGAGTATTTCAACCACAAAAACGCCATTGAAGTGACCTGAGCTCGTCGGGGACCATAAGAGGTGCTTTCAATTTCCCGAGAAAGCTTTGCGCCGGATTGCGCCGTGTACGAATTTTATCCCAGAAAGTAATTGTTTTATGTAATGCGCATGTGATCCTACCTCTGCGACCTGATCTTCCAATAGAAAGGCAGGTCTCACTTGTCCCAGAATGCACTTACAAATAAAGGATCTTCGTTCACATGGCCATTAAAGAAGAGATGTAGTGCCTAGATGTGCCTTCGAACGCTGATCTCAAATCTACCTTCCAAATCTGCTAAACGATTCTCTGAACGGAGTTATGAAGCAAAACAGCGCAACGGTAGTGGTCGGGACTCACAGTCAAAACGTCGTAGGATCGGTCCCTATCGCGTTTACTGTTTTGCGTTCTTCAGGAATTCAGCTAAATAGGCTATTAAAAGCCTTTAGCTGTATTCTGAAGAATGGAAAACAGTAAACACGATAAGGGACCGATCCTACGACGTTTTGACTGTGAATCCCGACCACTACCGTTGCGCTGTTTTGCTATTTTGCTCATAACTCCATTCAGAGAATCGTTTAGCAGATTTGGAAGATAGATTTGACATCAGCGGCCGAAGGCACATCTAGACGTGTATATCTCTTCTTGAATAACCATGGCAACCTGGGATCCTTTCCTTGTTAGCTTCTTCAAGGCATTGTTAGATTATCTAAATTTTCTTTTCTGGATTTTTAGCTGAAGTAAGATGACGCTGACATGTGAGCCTTGCTCCAGTTCATCTCCACTCTCTCGTGTTAAAGTGGTAGAATTAGATAAATTCTTAACAGGATTAGCGGGCCGATTTTTTGGAATTTTCGCAAAAATTCACCGAAGATATGGGTACCCCCAGGAGGCCCATCGCGCGGCAAGAAGGCCGAGTCGGCGGACGAGTCGCGGCGCGTGATGTGCGATGAAGGACGTGCAATGGGACATTCTATTTAACTTGACGCGATTTCCCTAATACGCGCGCAACTCGTCCGCTGACTCGGCATTTTGCCGCGCGACGGGCCTCCTGGGGGGTACCCCAAAGATATGTATCGCAGAAATCTGAGAAGCTACCAACGTAATCACTTCAGTGCCATGGGCTACTTTGACTTGAGCGTTGGAAAGCGATGATGCGCTTAATCACAGGTGAGCGCTTCGCCCGTGGTGTAGCACTAAACATCCCTCCGCGTGAAGTCCTAGTTAAGAAATTTGATTTTTCGCTTTCCCACATGAACCTACAAACCTGAAATTTACATATATCGATTCTCCATAAAACATGATATCAGATGATACATACCACGGTCGCGGACAGAACCTTGTTTTGAAATGACTCCTCTGTAGGAGCTTGATACCATGAGCTTGAAAACCAACGCACCATGGCGCAATCTGGAATCAAACTCTCAACTGGAAACATCTTCCTATAGACCCCGGCAAGCTGAGTTCAACACCTCTCTCCATTCTGCTTCCAGATTCCTATAATGGTTAACTCGAAAGAATCATACAAAACAACACAATGTACCGCAAGATAGGTTTTCGCGCGTGTGTTCTTGAAGTTTTAGGGCACTGAGTACCGTAGTTTCGATAGGCTAGATTCTCCTATGAATCTCGCGCTTCGGGACCCGACTTTGTTATTTTACGGAATAGCTGAGTTTAGGTACATTTTCAAGTGGTAGGCGTGTAATAACCTACTTCATAAGATTAATCGCCGGAGAGGGGGGGAGCGGGAGGCGCCCCGCGGAAGGCACACTAGCACATTCATTACATTGCGAATCATTGAGACCGCATAGCCTGTGTGCAATAGCTTTGTGGGCGCTTGATTCATCCCATGGACAGCGGTTCTAATCGGCACGTAAGGCCGATGTCATAGTTAGCGAATCGCTGGATCCGAGCGTTGCGCCAGCGAATCGAACTATGTACCAGCGAGTCGAACGATGTACCGGCACTGTTTGAAAGTGGCGCGACCCAATTGGAGGAAGTCTTCAGTCAAGGAAAGGAACTTTTCTTCAATCGCTATGCGTGTATGTCGGTTCTCGCCTTCGCTAGCGAATCGCTCGAATCGCAAACTATGACATCGGCCTAAGGCTAAACCGACATACACGCATGAGCTATTCTAATAATGGATTATTGCGCATAATAGAAATGTCCCTTGATTTGGAACCTTATTTATTGCTTTTCTATTTATCTCTCTTTAACCAGGCGCTTGTAAGGAACTCAGATCGAACTTTTGTCACGTGCGAAACGGAGACTAAACGACTTCTTTGTTCACCACCCCTCCAAATAAATATAAACCAACTCATAGAATAATGTTCAATTTCGAATAAACATCGTTATCAGGATAATAATAAATAAATTAGTTCGATTCAACTTGTTTTTATTGTAAACATAATAACTTCATTGCTCCCTTAGTTAACTCCGACATAGCAACTATCGACTTGTAAAGGCGCATTTTGAACGGCGGCTCTTTAAAACAAACCTCTACAGTAATGTAGTTGACGTAGTGGAAAACTTTCTTGGAGATCGATCTTTGAAGAAAATGCTTTTAGAGCCTTAACATCGCCTTGATCAATGGAAAAACTCTCGGAGCAGCATGGTTCGTATCAAACTGCTACGCAGCAAGCAGAAGGGGCGAATATGTGGCAGTGCTAGAGGTTAGTTACCTATTTATTTTTGCTTCAGGAAAGAATTTTACATAACGAAATAGTGAACTAGATATTAGGTTGGAAAGAAAGTTCTGCAACACTCTTTCTAAAATTTTCTTTTTTTCTGAAAAATTCATAGGTAACATTTATGACTAACAAATGGTAGAGCATTCTCGAGGCTTCAATCCACGAGGTGGATATAAGTGCTGCAGTCAGTAGTTATCCAAGAAAATTCAAAAAACCTCGACCACTAGTAAATCCATACTCCGAGTCACTGTCTAGTACAAATGTCTCCAAAACTATGGATTCGTGTCAACGACTGACACTATCTGCAATAGCTTCAATAGGCATGCCGTTCACCGCTACAGCGTGTTTCACCTTTACCAGCGCTTTCGATCTTTTGATATTTTTATAAGAAGCCAGCAACGTCCACACACTCCATTACAGGAAGGGCTCTTACGGAAGCTCACTACGAATTCTCGGGCACCTTGTGATAGGATCGGGTCTATGTTGCGCAACTCCAGAGGTTGTCGAGGGCAGCCTCGTCAAGACTCTGTACTCGCGATACATTTTTTGGTGCTAACTTAGTTGGGGGGGGGGCACGCGGCGGCGCGGCAGTCTGCTCACCTGGGCTCTCTCGAGCGAGACAGTGTAAACTCGAACATTCCAGCTTTTCACGCATGTCAAGTGACTGCCCCCACCCCCCCCCCCCTAGACTGCCTACACTCCCCCTGGCCCACGGATTTCCGAACATGCCAGGCGAGCAGACTGCCGCGCCGCCGCGTGGCCCCCCCAACTAAGTTAGCACAGAATCTGGTTATAGCATCGGTGTGTGTGTTGCATTATCGTAACTGAGCGCTAGATTCTGAGCTGCCGGCAATTATGCTTATTTATAGTCAATTCTACGGGGGGGGTTCGGATCCTTGCAAAAATATTTTACGAGATTTATGTTTGTTGTTGGTTATTACATATAAAAAGCCGGAAATACCTTCCCTTTCAGAGACGATGAAGAAACGGTCGGGTAGAGTAAGATAAAGGAAGAAATTAAGATATGCAAAGCGATTTGCTAAGCCAAACACAATAGTCCTTACGAATTTCAATCAATCGATCGGCTTACCCTCCCCTTCGAAAAGCGAGAAAGTGTCGGGTGAAGACCATACAACACAAGTGACGAAGGCTTCTACATAATGTTAGTAATGTTTTCTAGCATGAAATGATTAGCCTGTATTCTATTAGTTGTCACTGATCACGACTACCATTATTAAGCAAAGATCAGCTATCACTACGAATCACTGCCAACCAGATTTACTTGGAGGCGTCGTCACTTGTGCCCACGCTTTCTCGTTATTCGAAAGGGAGGGTACGGTGAGGCTGCGCGTTTGCAAGACTGCACCTGTCCCACGCGGCAAAAAGCGAAAATATGCGATGACATCATTAATGAGTGAAACCCCTCTTGAGAACAAACCAACCCACTGATACTCACACTGTATTCGTCGACGACCCCCTGCTGTTATGTATGCGCCCAGCCCCCCGCTATCAAGTGGGGCGGTGCATGGAATTGTTCTATGGGCCAGACATTCTCGATACCTACAGCGTTGGGAACGGCCACGCTTATATTCTCTCTGCTCAATAAATATATCACTGAACCACCTTCCTTGTTTCTCAAAAAGGGTAGTCAAAACCCAGTCTTCAGCACCCATCCTGGTCATCTACACATTTTCAGAAGTACTATCCTGTGGACAAATATGGTGAGTGCGAAGGAGCACAGTGCAAGATTGGAGGCTTCTGCGAGAAAATGCTAGACACGCAGTGAGGATTTGCAGTTTTCCCAATTTTGCATTTCGTAACTCAGCCAATTCCTCTTTCAGCTATCACTTTTACCTCTCATTTGAAAATTCTATTTGTAAAGGATTATATCACCGAAAAGCTATGGAAACATGGTTATATGCATTATGTAGTCCCAATAGTTTTGAAGGTTTGGACGTACTTTCTTTATTTGATTACCACGTTAAACTCGGGTTGGAGGGTGTAACGAGGCGGCACGGTCACCCTTTTCGTCTGAGCTCTCTTGGCGGACACATCGGAGCTACTGTTTCATCGGCTCAGGCACGCTGAGTGTTGTCTTGGTAGCAGGGTCAACCCTACGTTGTTACTAGTAACAACGGGGGGGGTCGTACCTGGTTGAGTTTATAGGAGGGGGGGTCGTATCCGCTTCAGTCGCGTGAAAGTACATGTGAGTTGGGTTGAGTGGTACCAGAATTAAATACTATAGAGAGGAATATGGTGGTCGAGGTGTGGAAAAGGGGGTCGTACCAAATCCACCTTGGGGGAGGGGGGTCGTAAAAATTTTTGAAAAAGTAACAACGATAGGACTGACCCTGCTTGGTCGTGTGTAGTTTGCGCACAGAGCACAGACGCGCCGCGCCGTCGCGCGGCCCCTTTAATCCGAGATTCACCGATTGTTATACAAAATAAAAAGTTTTTGATGTGGTAAATTGAGTTTTTTGTTAATCGCTGCTATCAGGAAAGCTATCCATGCTGCCCGATTCCCAATGGACGGGCGAATATATAAACTCTCGATGCTGCCACACAGAAATGGAACAAAGAGTGCCACATAACCTGCTAAGGAAGTTGTGAGCGACCACATCAGTCCAAGGTTCAGGTCTCCGCGATGGCAAAACTTGCATATCAGGTTGTGCCACCAGGAGGTTGGTGTAAATTGGCGCAGTAATACAGGGTGTTCCATAAATATTGTCCACTTTTCTTTACTTGTAACTTCTTTCAAAGTGAATGTGTCTTCAGGAGGATTTACAAAAATTTAACTAACACATCTACAAGGGAAAGAGAAGACATTCATTAAAGCAACAGTCCACGCAGGGTGGGCGTGGTTGGAGACGACGGCAATCCCCTCGGCCGATTACGACTTAGCTTACTTTAGCTCCCTTCCTAGCGGTTTCCCAAGTTGTGTTTTTGTTCACTAACACTTCTTATGTTCATGGCTGGGGCTGTATAGCTCCAAAAAGGAAATCGGCCGAGGGGATTGCCGTCGTCTCCAACCACGCCCACCCTGCCTGGACTGTTGCTTTAAGTGATGCTGCCCCTGCCTTGTTCGTGAGTTATGGCGCCTTTGATTGCTTGCCGAACGCAACTCTACTTGTTGGCAATCCTGGATGTTTCTCCACAACACTTGTAGAGAAAAGGCTCCGGCTTATTGGCGTGTGGATGCCAAGGCTTGGAGACTCTTTGCCCCCTCCCCCAATATAGCCACTGGCCACGGAGCCAGTTGAACCAAGCGTCTCATCGAGCCGTAGGTCGGACCTAGCCCGCTTCCGTGTGAGAGATCACACTCGGGTTGATTTGGCGCACCATGAAATGCAGCGCCAAACGGTTAAACCGCCGGACTTTGGCGCTGGATCACTTGACAAGAGGATAGAGGGCATTGAAAGCTGTCTGCGCAATGCTCGGAAGAATAGCTATAGACACCAGAGTTGAGTCAGATGTCGGCTGCAATAATTTATGGGACACCTTGCTAAGTGGAGTGTGCTCATACTCGTGACCAGGCCAATCGGTATTTCCTATAAATCGTTTTACGAAATTATATCAAGCAACCGGTAAGTCATTCAGCATACAAGCTGTGATCTCCATAGCCATTGCATCGGTCGGTTCATTTAGTAGCTTTGATCTCCACAGTTGCAGCCCTATTTCCAGGCTCTATCTAATTTATATCCACGCCTCAATTCAGAAATTTAGAAGCCTTCCCTGATTAGACCAATGTCAGGCTATAGGGTTAACAATGCAGCTTAACCCTTGTGTACATAATGTCTTGTTAAATAAACAGGGCTAGGTGACACATCATTATCTAATTGACATTAATACAAATGAAGCTATATATAGGCGTACAAGCTGGACAAGAAAATCTGCGCGTTAGCACTATCTCTGCTCGACCTGAGTTCGAGGTTAGGCCGAGGCAGCGATGGCTCTAACAGCAACACAACTGCAGTAAAGTAGGATTCAGGGATTGTAGCGAAAAAAGGTGATGAACAACAAGAAGAGTACAATAGATGCTCGAATAATAATGGTGAAAATGATCCGCTTACATCTTTTTTTCAGAGGCATATAGTTGAGCCGTATGTTCCTCCACATTCATTTATTGCTGTGGACGACTTTAACACCATTGAGGACCTTGCAGAATACTTACACTATCTCACCAATAACAGATCAGCTTACCTGTGGGTCAATACTGATTACCTTTTTTTTTTACAATACATATAGTGCAGATGGTAATCGCATCGATGACACTCGGCACATTTTCCCATTATTTCTTGTTAAATGAAACGGAACTCCGACTTCGTCTTTTTTCATTTCTACAGGCACATCGCAGTAAGGCCAGTGAAGCAATCCAGTATTTAAAGCAACAGTCCCAGCAGGGTTTTCACCTTCGACACTAATGGTGTGGAACGATGCGCTAGCCCTAGTCAAGAACATAAGAAGTGTGACTGAACAAAAAACTCAAGCCGCTAGAAAGGGAGCTGAACAGCTTCGAAGTGGGCGTGGTTGCAATCGGCTGCAATCTCGGCCGATTCCAACCACGCCCACTTCGAAGCTGTTCAGCTCCCTTTCTAGCGGCTTTCCAAGGTGTTTTTTGTTCAGTCACTTTTTATGTTCTTGACTAGGGCTAGCGCATCGTTCCACACCATTAGTGTCGAAGGTAAAAACCCTGCTGGGACTGTTGCTTCAAGTAGAGTAGAGCGGTCCGCATATAGACAGCGTCGATTTGGCAAACTTGACATGCGCTTGTTACGGTCGGTTCAGTGGTAGATTTATTTGACTTCTAAACTATGATACATTGCTTGGTTTACATACGGTGACAGTCTCTCCAGATGTTACGGTACTAACAGATGTCTACGCAAAAATTAGTACCAGATGCTAAGGTAGAAAAAAGTGGGTAATTTCACAGATCCTAAAGGGGCTAAAGGAGAAGTTGACTGCATGTTCAACGATAAAGTCGTGGTTCACCACGACAGGGCTGTATTTGTAGACTCAACTCAACACCCCCAGAACGAACTAGTGGTGTCACCGTGATTGATAGTGAAGTTCTGGATGCCGAATCGACTGACTCGAAAACTGTT